CTCCCAGCCCGGCAGCTCTGTGTCCATTACGTGGATGCCCATGGCTGCCTCCAGCACCCCATTGACAAAGGTGTCCTCCATCTCCTGATGGAACCAGGACTGCAGGGTCTGGAGGAGCGTTACCTGGTCCTGGAAAGAGCTGAGCCGGTTTGGGTGCTGGAGGAGGCTGACAGGATTGCTGGGCACCTCTTCTGCAGCCCACCAGTCGTCGTGGAGGTCATTGTCAGCTGGGTCGCTGGGATCTGGGTGTGCCTCGCCGAAAACGCCTGATGGTGGCACAGATGGTGTGATGACGTGCTCCCTGTAGTCATCGTCTGCCCGCACAGAGTGTAAGATGGATTGGATCCCCCCCCTTGCAGAGGGGGCAATCGGGCTTGCTCTCAGCCCACCGCAGTATGCATTTATAGCAGAACCGGTGGAGGCATGGCATCACGTAGCTGGCCTCCTCACAGCTGCCCAGGCAGATGGGGCAGCGCTTCTCCAGCTCCGTGGCCATGCTCTCGATCCACTGCGGTGGGCTGGGGGAGCTGAGGAGGACAAACTGCTCCCTCTCACAGGCGCTGCAGCAGCCGGTGTCACGCTAGAAAAGGAAGAGAGGCCACGGTCACTGGCCGGCCCGGAGAGGGGGGGAAGAAGTGGCCAGATCCCTCAAGAAGGAAACCCTCCCAGCTGCCCAGGGTGAGGTTTCCCTGCCAGCCCACCTCTGCTGCTGCGAGCACGGCTCCTGGGTGTCCTGGCTACCTGAAGCTGGCAGGTGTGGGGAAAATCCTTCAATGGCTCTGGGGTCAGGCGTGGAGAGCTGCAAAGAACAACTTGCCAAGCACGGCACCAGCACCAAGGCCTCACTCAGCACTCCAACCCTCGCAACCTGCTCAGCTGGAGTCCGGGCAGAAGCCGGCTTGGTGGGGCTGGGTGCCCCATTCTAAGCAGCAAGGGACGCCTGGTCACAACCCATCTCTCGTATCCTCGCTTGGATACGTCTCAGTCCATCCCTCAGTGACAACAGAAGCCGTTGCTCAGGACACGGTGATATCAGAAACCATTGCTTTGTTTTCTGGTACACCTGGGTTTTGGAAACTTCACTAAAACCTCCAACCCCTTTGTGGGTGTCACTGAATTTGTGCCCTGTATGGGCAGAAGTTGTGGGCGATGTCAGGAGCGCCTGGCATTAGCCCAGCCCTTCTCAGTGATCGAGGAGTAATAGTTCAGGCAACACTGGTTCTGAAAAATCCCGTCTTTTCCTCCAGCAAATACTGATACCCCAGTCCTGTCCATGCGTATACACATATTTTCCCCCAACACCCCCAAGTTTTTCATAGAATCGTAGAATGCTTTGGGTTGGAAGGGACCTTTAGAGGTCATCTAGCCCAAACCCCCTGCAGCGAGCAGAGATATCTTCCCTCAGCAAGTCTTCAGATGACACCAAGCTGAGTGGTGCAGTCGACACACCAGAAGGACATAATGCCTTCCTGAGGGACCTGGAGAAGCTGGAGAAGTGGGCCTGTGTGAACCTTGTGAGGTTCAACAGGGCCAAGTGCATGGTCCTGCATCTGGGTCGGGGAAACCCCTGCTATCAACACAGGCTGGGGGATGAAGGGATTGAGAGCAGCCCTGCTGAGAAGGACTTGGGGATCCTGGTGGATGAAAAAGCTGGACATGAGCCAACACCATGCACTCGCAGCCCAGAATGCCAACCGTGTCCTGGGCTGCATCAAGAGAAACATGGCCAGCAGGTCGAGGGATGTGATTCTGCCCCTCTGCTCCGCTCTGGCGAGACCTCACCTGGAGTCCTGCATCCAGCTCTGGAGACCCCAGCACGGGAAAGACATGGAACTGTCGGAGCAGGTCCAGAGGAGGGCCGCAAAAGTTAGCAGAGGGCTGGAACACCTCTCCTGTGAGGAAGGGCTGAGAGAGTTGGGGCTGTTCAGCCTGGAGAAGAGCAGGCTGTGCAGACACCTTATAGTAGCCTTTCAGTACTTGAAAGGGGCCTATAGGAAGGACGGGGACAGTCTTTTTAGCAAAGTCTGTTGTGACAGGACAAGGAGCAATGGTTTTAAACTAAGGGAGGGTAGATTTAGACTGGATATAAGGAAGACATTTTTTACAATGAGGGTGGTGAAACACTGGAATGGGTTGCCCAGAGAGGTGGTGGAGGCCCCATGCCTGGAAACATTCCAGGCCAGGTTGGAAGGGGCTCTGAACAGCCTGGTCTAGTTGAAGATGTCCCTGCTCGCTGCAGGGGGGATGGGTAGATGACCTCTAAAGGTAGTCCCTTCCAACCCACAGCATTCTATGATTCTGTGATTCTATGATTCTGTGATATTGTAAACAAGACTGGATGCCTGATAGTCTCAGAAAGCAACTGCTGTAAGTCCATGTACAGTACACCCAAGATGAAGATGAGAAGAGACACTCAGAGCTGGAAGTGAGCTATCCAGGTAACATCACACTTTATTAAATCTTCTTTGCAGGGATTCTGTGCAAGTGCCATATGATTATAGTTTTTACGTATCAGAACACATTATTCATATTCTCAGAACGCAATGATTCCTCGTTCTCTGGCTGCAGTTGGCTGGGGGGAGCTGGGGATTACAAACTGCTCCCTCTCATGGGTGCTGCAGCAGCCAGTGTCACGCTAGAAAAGGAAGAGAGGCCACGGTCACTGGCCAGCCCGGAGAGGGGTGGAAGTAGTGGCCAGATCCCTCAAGAAGGAAACCCTCCCAGCTGCCCAGGGTGAGGTTTCCCCCCCAGCTCACCTCTGCTGCTGCGAGCGTGGCTCCTGGGTGTCCCGGCTGCCTGAAGCTGGCAGGTGTGGGGATAATACTCCAAAGTCTCTGGGGTCAGGTGTGGAGAGCTGCAAAGAACAACTTGCCAAGCACGGCACCAGCACCAAGGCCTCACTCAGCACTCCAAACCTCGCAACCTGCTCAGCTGGAGTCCGGGCAGAAGCCGGCTGACTGGGGCTGGGCAGCAAGGGACGCCTGGTCACAACCCATCTCTCGGGGACGTCGCATTCCATCGCCAGGTGATATCACAGTCTGTCGCTTGGATACGTCTCAGTCCATCCCTCAGTGACAACAGAAGCCGTTGCTCAGGACACGGTGATATCAGAAACCATTGCTTTGTTTTCTGGTACACCTGGGTTTTGGAAACTTCACTAAAACCTCCAACCCCTTTGTGGGTGTCACTGAATTTGTGCCCTGTATGGGCAGAAGTTGTGGGCGATGTCAGGAGCGCCTGGCATTAGCCCAGCCCTTCTCAGTGATCGAGGAGTAATAGTTCAGGCAACACTGGTTCTGAAAAATCCCGTCTTTTCCTCCAGCAAATACTGATACCCCAGTCCTGTCCATGCGTATACACATATTTTCCCCCAACACCCCCAAGTTTTTCATAGAATCGTAGAATGCTTTGGGTTGGAAGGGACCTTTAGAGGTCATCTAGCCCAAACCCCCTGCAGCGAGCAGAGATATCTTCCCTCAGCAAGTCTTCAGATGACACCAAGCTGAGTGGTGCAGTCGACACACCAGAAGGACATAATGCCTTCCTGAGGGACCTGGAGAAGCTGGAGAAGTGGGCCTGTGTGAACCTTGTGAGGTTCAACAGGGCCAAGTGCATGGTCCTGCATCTGGGTCGGGGAAACCCCTGCTATCAACACAGGCTGGGGGATGAAGGGATTGAGAGCAGCCCTGCTGAGAAGGACTTGGGGATCCTGGTGGATGAAAAAGCTGGACATGAGCCAACACCATGCACTCGCAGCCCAGAATGCCAACCGTGTCCTGGGCTGCATCAAGAGAAACATGGCCAGCAGGTCGAGGGATGTGATTCTGCCCCTCTGCTCCGCTCTGGCGAGACCTCACCTGGAGTCCTGCATCCAGCTCTGGAGACCCCAGCACGGGAAAGACATGGAACTGTCGGAGCAGGTCCAGAGGAGGGCCGCAAAAGTTAGCAGAGGGCTGGAACACCTCTCCTGTGAGGAAGGGCTGAGAGAGTTGGGGCTGTTCAGCCTGGAGAAGAGCAGGCTGTGCAGACACCTTATAGTAGCCTTTCAGTACTTGAAAGGGGCCTATAGGAAGGACGGGGACAGTCTTTTTAGCAAAGTCTGTTGTGACAGGACAAGGAGCAATGGTTTTAAACTAAGGGAGGGGAGATTTAGACTGGGTATTTTTACAATGAGGGTGGTGAAACACTGGAATGGGTTGCCCAGAGAGGTGGTGGAGGCCCCATGCCTGGAAACATTCCAGGCCAGGTTGGAAGGGGCTCTGAACAGCCTGGTCTAGTTGAAGATGTCCCTGCTCGCTGCAGGGGGGATGGGTAGATGACCTCTAAAGGTAGTCCCTTCCAACCCACAGCATTCTATGATTCTGTGATTCTATGATTCTGTGATATTGTAAACAAGACTGGATGCCTGATAGTCTCAGAAAGCAACTGCTGTAAGTCCATGTACAGTACACCCAAGATGAAGATGAGAAGAGACACTCAGAGCTGGAAGTGAGCTATCCAGGTAACATCACACTTTATTAAATCTTCTTTGCAGGGATTCTGTGCAAGTGCCATATGATTATAGTTTTTACGTATCAGAACACATTATTCATATTCTCAGAACGCAATGATTCCTGTGTACAGTGGCTCCCGGATCTTTCTTTCTTTCTTTCTTTCTCTCTTTTCTTTAATCTGATTTATACCCATGCAATTATTTATACATATGCTATTATAAAAACATACTTGGCCTCAATATCAGCTTTCTCCCGCACCGCTTGAGCCATCTGTTCGGTCTCAAAATATTTCTTTTTGCCTTTAGCTAAATCTTTTACTGTCTCTTGTAATTCAGCTTGGATCCTCGTCAACTGGTCCACGCACTGAAAAAAAGCATTCAGGAAAAAACCCCAAACATTAATGTATTTTTGCATCCAAATATTACTATAATCATCATTTTACTGCTCTTCATTACATTTTACATGGAACGACGCGGTCTCCAAGTCACTCCTGGTCAATTATTCATTAATTTCTTTTAAAGCTGCTCAGAACATAACTCCATTATTTCTTTCTGTCTTCTTTATTTTTCTTTCTCTCTTTCTTTTTCTTTCTCTCTTCCTCTCTTTTTCTTTCTCTCTTTCTCTCTTTTTTCTCTTTCTCTCTTTCTTTCTCTCTCTCTTTCTCTCTCTCTCTCTTTCTCTCTTTCTCCCTCTCTTTCTCTCTTTCTCCCTCTCTTTCTCTTTCTCTCTTTCTTTCTCTCTTTCGTTCTCTCCTCTTCTTCCATTTCCCTTGTTTCTTTTCTGCAAGATAAAACAAAGGTTAGATTATTTATCTGTGTCTCTACTGCATGTTTGGTCATCTTCGTTCAGTTTCTGGTGCTTGGGAGAAAGGAAGTTCTGCAATAATTGCAATTTCTCTTCAATGCAATTTACCATGCAATTGGGTGCATATTCTTTTACACATTTCTCTTTCTGCTGGACATTTACCTTGATGAATGGAATTCACTTCCCAAACATTACTTAAAGCATCAAAGGGAATGTCATCGTGTGTGGTTGCTAATAACTAGAGAAGTCCTCAAAACCTTTTTATTTATCTTTCAGTAGTCAGATTCACTAATGTATTCCTTCTGCTTTATACCACGTTGGAGGCGTAGAGAGCAGCCGCAGGGTACAGGCCAGGTGAGGAGCACACAGGCAGGCAGAGGATTTTAGGAAAGTCTGTGCAATGAAGTTGAAGTACATCCCTCTCTTCTGTTTTGCCTCTATCTGTGCATGCTGGAAATCCCCAGCATGGGACTTCTTAATCATCTTCAGGAGAACACACAGGACAAACAGTATGTTCACACACCCACACCCGACAACACACGGAGGCATGCATGTTTACTTTACTCCTGGCCTTCTGCTGTCAGTTTGTGTAATTGCAAAAGAGCAATTCAATATTTTTATTACACAGTGGCTGCGGGAATTAGCATGTGAAAACTTCAGAGAAGTCTAGAAGTAAATATCCTGCTTAAGAGTATTCTCAGACCTTCTTTTGTTTCTAAACTAACTGTTGACCAGAAATGACCAGTAAACATGAAAGCAACCAACAGGGCGCTAAACTAGTCCAGAAGGATAAGAAATGGCACAGTGACTATATTTGTCATGCTGTTGTGGGTTTGTGTGACAAGGTCGTGGGGGCTACAGGGGTGGATTCTGTGAGAAGCTGCGAGAAGTTTCCCCCATGTCTGATAAAGCCAGTGCCAGCTGGCTCCAAGACAGACCCGCTGCTGGCCAAGGCCGAGCCCATCAATGATGGTGGTAGCACCTCTGTGATACCATGTATTTAAGGTAGGGGAAAAAACTGCTGCAGAACAGCAGGTAAGAGAGAGGAGTGAGACAGTGTGGGAGAAACAACTCTGCAGACACCAAGGTCAGTGAAGAAGGAGGGGGAGGAGGTGCTCCAGGTTTCAGAGCAGAGATTTTTCCCCTGCAGCCTGTGATGAAGACCATGGTGAGGCAGGCTGTGCCCATGCAGTCCATGGAGGTCCACAGTGGAGCAGATCTCCACCTGCAGCCCGTGGAAGGGACCCCACGCCGGAGCAGGTGGATGCCTGAAGGAGGCTGTGACCCCGTGGGGAGCCCGTGCTGGAGCAGGCTCCTGGCAGGACCTGTGGAGAGAGGAGCCCACACTGGAGCAGGTTTGCTGGCAGGACTTGTGACCACATGGGGAACCCATGCTGGAGCAGCCTGTTCCTAAAGGACTGCACACTGTGAGAAGGACCCACACTGGGGCAGTTTGGGAAGCACTGCGGCCTGTGGGAAGGACTCACGTTGGAGAAGTTCATGGAGGACTGTCTCCCATGGGAAGTTCTCCACGCTGGAGCAGGGGCAAAGTGTGAGGAGTCCTCCTCCTGAGGAGGAATGAACGGCAGAGACAAAGTGTGATGAACTGACCGCAACCCCCTTTCTCTGTCCCCCTGTGCTGCTTGGGGCGAGGAGGTGGAGAATCGGGAGTGAAGTTGAGCCTGGGAAGAAGGGAGGGGTGGGGGAAGGCGTTTTTAAGATTTGGCTTTATTTCTCATTATCCCACTCTGATTTAACTGGTGATAAATTAACCTTTTTTTTTTTTTTTCCCAAGTTCAGTCTGTTTTGCCCATGACTCTCTCGTTTTCCTTATCTTGACCCACAAGACTTTCATCATATTTTTTTTCTCCCCTGTCCAGTTGAGGAGAGGGAATGATAGAGTGGCTTTGGTGGGCACCTGGCATTTATCCACACTAAACTGTAACACATGCATATATTCACCAGACTGAAAATGAGAGGGAGCAAGTATTTAGGAAATAAGCACAGTTTTGCTAGCACTGCACTAGAAGAACCTACCCTTTGCCGAGTGAAAAATCTGTGATCTATATGAGCAACTCTTGAGTGGCCATTTACTGTTCTCTACCAGTGTGCATCGCCGGGACCAGTGTTGTGCAGAGAGTGGGCCAAATAGGATGCTGGGGATGCAAATCTACTCCTTAAAACAGTTTGTTTCAGAATGAAATAGAACTCAGCTTGTATTATTTCCCTAC